ATAACCTTGAAAATCAATAGCACCCTTTATTTATTTAATAGTTATTTATTTTCAAAATACTATAATAATAATAATAATAATAATAATGCAGTTTACCTCGTGATAGGTTTTTATGAATATATTTTTCAAACAGGGGCATTTGCGGCTTCCTCTTTAATTTAATCACTAAACAGCGAATCAATCTCTGTGCGAAAATAACCAGCAAAGCTTCTAAAATCCGTTAATTTGATATGACCGTCAACGACGAGGAATAATCTGATAATGGAGCAATTAACCCGATTCCCCAAAGCTGAGAATTAGAAAAAGTTGTGTAAATTTTTTACTTAACCGCTACAAAATTAATCTGAACGTTATAAGTACTTACAAAAATACCTAATAAAAGTTTAAAATAAATATGATAAATATTGACCTTAGTTTTGTGAAATCTACATAACACTTTCACCGTTATCGTCACCGTAGTTCGAACAGTCATGCCCAGAAACCTATTCGAGTTTAAACAGGGTTCCTACTATTTCATAGGGACACTATAGCTAGTTCTTAAACAGTAAAAAATAGAAAAATGGTTAAATTACACAAAAGTTGCGCAGTTCTGTGTTCATTGAAATTGTGCTAAGAAATTTTTGATATCTACAGGCAGATTTAAAATATTAGACAAAAAAAGATTGAATATAAAGAAATGACAAATTTTGTCCGATATTTTCAATCTCCCTGTAGATAACAAAGGTATCTTGGCATCATTTTAATAAGAAAAAACTGATTTCTGTCTAATTTAACCAACTTTCTATATGTTACCGTTTGAGAAATAGCAATATTATCCCTATGAAATAGTAGGGAGCCTTGTATGCTTTTCCAATAATTGTAATAGCGATCCTGGTGACAGACTTTTTAAAGTAAGGGTTTTGAGTGATACATTCATTCATAATTATCGGAAGACATACATCCCGTGCACTATATAATAATAATAATAATAATAATAATAATATCGTCTTTATTATTTTATATCAAAAGTTAACATGTATATTCGTAAAATAGAAATAAATTTACATTTGAAATAAAGGGCGACGTTCATTTTTTGCATTCCTACGATTGCAAAAAATGTTTTTCCATTTAACCCTAAAAAAAAATATATTTTTATTAATGAAATATTTAATATTTAACCGGCAGAGGATCTGTTAAGAGTGCAACAAACGAATTGGTCTGTAACTTTGATGTGTTATGTGGTTCTAAGATTTAACAAGTGCGTTTTATACATTTTTTTCAGTTTTGAAATATTTAAATGCCTAAATTTTTTAGGGACATTGTTATATATGTGAGCAACTTGATATATAAAGGAACGCCTAAACATCTCCGATTTGAATTTTAGAAGATTGATGGACTCGTGAAAATAAAATAAACGAAATAAGTCCAATCATAATAACAATTAATGGTGATGACAGTGATGATGATGATGAGGATTATGATATTTTGGATGATAATGACTGATTTTCATTTTTGTTGGCAAGTTCAATTTTTTTATTTTTCATTTGAAATTCTCTACATGGAACAAATTTTATGTTAGAAAATATTTTATTTGAGCTAAATAACCCTCTTATTATACATAGACCATATTTTCTGTATGAAGTGTAATATAAAATTATTTTTAGGTTTATAATAGCCACATTAGACTCCATTAATGAAGAAGTTTAATTCTGCTGTCAATTATACAAAAGATTCTCTATTATTATTTAATTAAAAAGTTGTACATTATTTTTCATTTCACTTAACCAAAGAACAGGTCAAATTGTCGGGTACTTACCTGGAAATACTTATAAAATGTTTAATCCGAAACCCGCGTAAGTATAGCGAACAGATTGTAAGTTTAAACTTTTTTAAAACTTCTCCTATTATAACATTGACATAAAGATCGCATGGAACTATTTTGAAAAAAATCTGATGAAATATAACTTTTTTACTTTCTTGAATTTTTGAACACAATATTTTTTTTCCTCAAAAACGGCTTACCAGATTTTTTCAAAATTTGCACATCAGTTACTTATTTGATGAGTATGTTAGGTGAATTTTTTGAAAATTTTTGGTCGGGTAAGATAAACCTAAATGACCAATAAATATTTTAAACATGAGCTATATTTGATGGAACTTAAAATAAATATTTTACTCATTTCACTGAAATTAGAGGTCACATTCATATTACATCCTCTCAGCGGAAACTTTTATTTCATAAAATATTCATATATACGAATGTAAAAGGGTTGTTTCAATTACAAAGCTTCCATTGTTAGAATGTTTCCAAACATTTCCAATGTGACTCCAAAAATACCCAAATCTACTGTACACGTCAGCTTTGATTAATGTAAATACCTTTTTTTTTTAATTCTGACACGATACACAACATAAAAAATAAAATTATTTAAAAATTGACACAAACAGTATACAGTTGGAGCCACGCAAAACGAAACAGACTGAATAACTTGATTAAAAAAAAAAACCGTAGAAGTAAGTCGATTTTGTTTCAAAGTGGACACATTTCTACGAAATTTTATTAAAATTAAGTAATTCTTTCTAGTAATGAGTTGTTAAGTGGTTAATAAATTAAAGTGATAAAAGCACAACTATTTGGAATAAAGGTTATATTGATGTGTGTAAAAAAAATCTGGTATATCGAACAGTTAATCAAATTTCTGACACTCAAAATTAATTGAATTGATCCCTGAATAATTTAATGATGGCCATACAAAACTTTTATTGATAAAAATTGTATTATACGAGGAGCGATCGATATTTATGATGAACTTGGATTCAAAAGAGATTACGAAAGAAAATATTTATAACATATACAGAAACAAAACTACACACATATGTGCTACTGTCCTTTGTTACAAATATATATTATTTCAAAGTATAGCTGAATTGCGTATTAGATATTTATGATATTTTAAGATGGAGTGGTGTTGCTAGAACTCATCTATATTCTTTGGAAATTCTTCAGATGACACTTAGTTACCACAGGCGAGGAATTAGAGGCAAGAAAAGTTCATCTATGGGAAGATCCATGGCAATTCCCATTAATGAAGACGCTAAACTAGTCGAATGTTTAATCACAATGGACAAATGGGGGTAGGGGTTAACACGACGTGACATTTTTAATACTGTTGAGCAATATGTCACTAGAAATATTCTTAAAACATCTTTTAAGAATGGGCGACAGGGAGAAGAATGGTTTTTGGGGTTTTCCAAGAGACATAATTTGTCAATGAAAAAAACCCCAATTGGTGGAATACGCAAAAAAAGTGTTTGGATCCTTTTATTATAAATAACTATTTTGACCTATTGAAGAATTTAGCTTACACGATAAACCTCGTCATATTTAGAATCCAGATGAAACCAGTTTTACTCTGGATCCATCAAAGACTAAAGTGGTGGGAAAACGAGGAGCAACTTCATCGCGAACGACTGCTGGATCTCGAAGGAAAAATACCACTGTACTGATGGCTGTTAGCGTTGATGGATTTAAAACTCCCCCATTGACCGTGTTTAAAGCAAAACATATGTGGGATGACTCGATTGCTCCTTCTACAGCCGAATAATATAATAATAATGTTTATTCATAAATAAAACAATATAATATTTGTTATGAATATGTATACCTACATTTAAAATTAACTCGTGGCAACGCTGTTTGTACAATTAAGGTGACAGATATTTAAAAGCACAGCTTGTTAAAATATCTGCAACCCACAATTATTAAGCGAATACGATAAACATACAATCAAGGAACTTCCGTTCGATTGAGTTCTCCATACTCAAACCAAAGAAGCATCAACGCTTTAGACGGATAAATTAAATTCCATAATTTCCGAAGAAAATGCCGTTCAAGATGACGTACATGAGGAAATCTGGAAGAAAATCAAGAACCACAACTATATATCGAATTCCTTACAGCCGCTATTGTGTTACCTACACTAACAGTTCAATGGGTCCTATAGAAAAAGATCTACTACCATCTCTGCCCTGGTCCAACAGCACCGCCAAACCATGCAGAGATGATCGAACTCCAGAGTCAGGAACGAAAATCCTCGTGACTTAAGATGAGAGTCGCCAGTATGTTCAGATTTGAACATTTTTCTTTATATTCACCGATTAAATGAAATTAATTATTTATTGAATTAAAATGTTTAATTTCATATGCAATTAATAATAAACACGTTCCAATATTGTATCTAGTTCGATGTGTAAATTATAATAATAAAAATGCTGACTTATTTTAAAATTATTTTCAAATCATTGAACTAGAGAGACTGAAATTGGAATAAAAATAGTTTTCTAATGTACATTTAAATAATTAAATAATATTAATTGTTATTGTATATTGTTTATTCTGTGATAATATAAATGTAAATGCAAACGAAAAATAAAGAGATTGACTAAGAACATGTGGTAGTTTACTTTACAAAATTATCTCTGAAATCAGATTCATGAAAACCATCTTGTGGTATTAATTACAACAATTATCTTTGAAATATATTCAGTTTAATAATTTTTCTAATAAAATCTTAAGATTTAAAATCAAAATAATAATTTGACTATATCTTTCTTAATATTACAGATAATTAAGTTCTGCAAAAACTGACCGATTCGAAATTTTACATATTTTTTGCTCTTGCTTCGTATAATCATCATAAGCATCTAAATAAAAAAGAAAGAGGTCTGAAATGCACTTGCCCCATAAACTGGGGTAAGTGTATTTCTGTAAGATAGCGACCAATTTATTTTTTTTTTGTAATAAATCCAAATTTTCAGGTAAAAATACTTTCGGATTATCATTACTTACACTTCCCCGAGTTGATATTAAACATTAATTTATTTTCTTAAGATATATCATGTGGGACTTAAAAACCAAGATATATGTTTAAAATACTATTATTAAAAATCATTGAAGAAGAAATTATCAATGGTTCCAATTCCAAAAAGTTATTAAATAAAGAAAAATATTTGAAACTCACCCGCTATCACTGGAACATCGAAATCAAATTGTTGACTCACACTTGACGCAGAATTGACTTGCCTCGTCTTGATCAGAGGCGGATTCTTACTCTGAGAAATGGCTAAACTTCGCCTCAGATTTCCCCTAGTAGGAGACGGAGGAGGGTAGGAAATACCCCTGTGAGTAGGACTCAAAAGTTGGCTCCCATTTTTACCGCTGGGCACCGACAGAGTATTTTGATTTAAATTCAGACTCATGTTACCGACGTTCGGCGAGCCTAGCGTCAGGTTTGGCAGGCTCTGTCCTAGGCTACCGTATGGTTGTACAGAGAGTGTGTTTGGGGTTTTGTGGAAGAGCCTGGTTTTGAAGGAATTTTTTTGGGTGACTGGACTTTTGTCAGGCGGGATGGGTTGAACACCTTCATCACTCGATAGTGAGCCAGTTCTGTTTTCGTTTTCTACTGAAACGGCTCGAGATTGGTTATTGATGGAACCCACCGAAGACTGGTCGTTCATCTCTACTGAACCACTGCAAAAAATTATATTAATTTACATATTGATGAACAAACTCAAAATTTGAGGCAAAAACGGTTTTCCTTAAAATTATGTACTAGTATTTTGCATGTATTTTGTGACGTTATGAAGCGACTGTGTCCAACTACCAAACTATAGTCTATTTTTATGTATGAGAGAGTAATAAAACAGCATTTCTAATGCAAAACTTAGTACGGTCATTTTAAATATTTTTACAGAATAATCTAAATATTTCCTAAAATTGTAATAAATGTACCTGAGCTATTACAAGTTTTGGGTCTTTTATTGGTCCTTTATAAACATAAGCTGTACAGAACAATAGAAAAAGGTTTGGTCAGGCCAAAAGCCCTGTGTATTAAAGATTACATAGCCGTATCTTAAGATTATTTTCAATAAGTACCTATTTACCAATTTTGTTTTATTTTAATTCCAAGAATTTCTTACAGTAATCGAATTATATGTAGATAAATACCTTCCCAACAAATTTTACCGAAAATGCGATTATAGGTTTTCCATTTAGTAAGGTGTATTCTTAACAGTTTACTAAATGTCGTTTAGTTGCAACTTGCAAGGTGCAGTGTGAATTCTAGTGTGATCATGGAAAATTTGGAACGGCCACGTAAACGACAAAAAATCGGTCCTTTAACAGTTAATGAAAAAACATTAATATTTAATTGTTTTAAATCATTTACAGACAAACATTTATGTAAAAGTGTTGATGACACAGTGGAATTAGTAGTATGCTTGGTGTTGGGAAATCTACGATTTACAGAGTTGTTAAAGAAGAGAAATGTGGCGAGTTTCAAATAACACGTAAAGCTCCAGGAAAACCGAAATTTCAATTGGAAAATCTTTTGAAAGAAAGATTTCGAAGGAAAGTGCATGCGTTCATCTTTAGAAAAGATTTTCCGACAATAGACAAAGTTTTTGCCACGGTTCGTGATGATAAGGATTACCCTGAAATGAGTCGAAGCACACTATGGAAACTTTTAAAAGAAATAGGTTTTTTATGGAAAAAGCATTCCAGAAAGTCTATTTTAATAGAAAGAAGCGATATTGTAGTATGGAGAAGAAATTACCTAAGGACTATAAAAGAAATGAGAAACCAAAGAAGAGATATATTTTATTTAGATGAAAGATGGATCAACGAGGGACATGAACCAAATAAATTTTGGCAAGATGAAACTGTTACAAGTCGAAGACAGGCTTTTTTAAATAATTTATCTACTGGTTTAAATCCACCATCAGGAAAGGGGCGCAGACTAATAATAGTACACATCGGTAGTTCAAACGGTTTTGTTAAAGGTGGTTTATTGGCTTTTGAATCTATTCGTACCGGTGACTAAAGACTAAAGACATGAATGCTGATGTCTTTAAAGACTGGTTCGAACAAATTATAGATCTTCTTCCTCAGAACTGTATAGTAGTAATGGATAATGCAAGTTATCACTCGAGACTTATAGAAAAAAATGCCCACAACTAAGTAGTTAAAAAAAGATTTACAGAATTGGCTAAATTCAAAGAATATTAAGTTCCATCCCGATTCTGTGAGAAAAGAACTGTGTTCCCTTCATAAAGAGAAATTAAAAAAATATGAAATTGATGAAATTGCAAAAAATCGTGGGATGACGGTGGTTAGATCACCACCATATCATTGCGAAGTAAACCCGATTGAACTGATATGGGCACAGATAAAGGAAGAAGTTTCAAAAAAAATAATTCTTTTAAAATGAGTGATGTTAAACAGCTGTTTTTGGAGGCTGTAAATAATGTGAAGCCTGAAAACTGGGCAAATGCAGTAAATCATACGATTAAAGAAGAAGAGAAAATGTGGAAGTTGGACAATATTACTGATGAAATGATCGAGCCACACATTGTTAATATTGGTTGCGACAGTTCATCTTCTGATTTCGATTCTGATTTGGACTTGTAGGTAAGAAGTAGTTTTTATATTAAAATTATTATTTATGAACGTAACGTTGTTTAAAAGTCAAAGTTTAAATTCTTATACCTACATAACCCGTTTGACACAATGTTCTTAACATACCTTGTGGAAAAATAAAACATTTTAGAAAATATTGCACTTTTTTACCTTCAGCTGTTTAGAAGTTATAAGCAGGTTAATTGGGTGAAAATATAAGTGTATACTCGAGGAATAACTTCAAAAAATAATTTAACTGTCTACTAAAAGAAGTGATACGCCTATGGATTACGAACGCTTTATTATTTTAATACTCTCTCATACATAAAAATAGACTATAGCAGAGATCTACCATAAATAATTTGTTTACAAATTTGTTTCGTTAAATAAATGTCAAAAGTCTGGAGGTACATATATTTCTATTTTCAAATTTGTAACAATTACTTACCTATGGCTGTGTGCTAAACTAGAAACTCTACTAGCTCTAGAAGAGGTAGCTAAAGGAGACCTGGGAATTAGTTGAATACTGCTATAGTCGTTTTCCAAATTGTAGTCGAAACTGTAGTCGGTATCAATACTTTCATCGGCTATGTAGCTTAATTGTTTCGCTTGTGCGTATAACGTTTGTGCTTTTGATATTCCCTCTCTCCATCCCTGGAAAGAAAAAACAAAAAATTATTTTTTCAGAAAGAAAATGTATCTTAAATGAGTAAAACCAAATTTGGTAGATTTTCACAAAAGTTTTATTAAAAAAAAAAAAAAAAAAGAAAACAACAACTAAAAACACTACACATGTTTCGAAGTTCAAGGTACAAAACATTGACCTGCCGACTCATCACATTCCACATGGTTAAAGGTATAGCGATCCAACCACTGCCGGCCAATGTCCACCGATGTCAGCATTTATTTTTAGTATAGATTGCCAATTAATATTATTTTTTTTTTAGTCTGATATATATTTTAATCTGTATTTATATTATAAAATTATTAAAAGTATTTTCAAAAATAAAATTAGTTTTTAGAAAGTGAGTTTGAAAGTCAAAACTCGTAATTTACAACTTCTTTTTCAAATGTGACTAATTTACAATTCGGTGTCCAGTATATATGCGAAGTAATTTAACCAAACAAAATAATTAAGAAAATACATCAATAACGTAACAAAATAAACTGACTATTTAAAGCAAATAAGGGTACTTAAGTAATTATGATTGAAGAGATTGAATAAAGGTGAGTTACTAATATCTAATTGATCATTTAGTAGGTTATCTGAATTTTTAAATCTATTCATTTCAACTGTTTCTAAATGGCTTAGTTTAATGCCCTTATTTTCTATATGTAAAATTTCAAAGTTGTCTGTAAAACAATGATTTTCAGCCAAAATATGATTTGAGTAAGTAGAATTATTTTTGTTTTTGTATAGCTATTATAATGTTCGGAATAGCGCTTTTGAAAGTACGGCCTGTTTGACCAATATACAATTTTGGACAACTACCACAATTTAATTTATATCTAGAGAAAAATTCAAACTAATACAAATGAATCCTCAACCACCGCAACTTTATTCTTTAATAAAATTACACAAAGAGAACTATCCTATTAGACCAGTGGTGTCATTTGTCACGGCTCCATCAGTTAAACTTTCACATACATTAATTAAACTTTTACAAGAAAACTGCAAATTCCATTCAAAGTACAGTATAAAAAATTCTTATGAATTAACAGAAAAATTAAAAAACATTAAATTACCTAGTAACACAAAATTAGTATCATTCGATGTAACAAACTTATTTGCTAGTATACCTCCTAAAGAAACAGTTAAGCTAATAGAAAACTTATTAGATCGTAATCAAGTCAATATTATAATCAAAGAAGAAATGCTAAATTTGCCTAAAACAAAATTATTTTCAATTTCAAAATAACATCTACTCAGCAAATAAAGGTCTTATTATGGGGAACCCATTAAGCCCGTTGCTTGCAGAAATATTTATGGATAATATAGAATATATATATAGATATGTTGACGATATATTGACTGCTTTTACTGGTGCTAGTAGACAGTTAAATTCTTTATTAGTTTTTATCAATACTATACACCCTAATATTAAATTTACTATGGAAACAGAGAAGGATAATTCAATTAATTTTTTTGACTTAAATATTATTAAAATTAATAAAGGCCATAGTTTTGGGATATTTCATAAGCCATCACATACTGATATTACAATAAATAATAGTTCATCTCATCCATACAAACAAAAGCTGGCAGCATACAATAGTATGATCCATAGATTAGTTAATATCCCCCTTACCAAAGAGAACTTCACAAAAGAATTAAATATCATTAAACAAATCGCAGCAAACAATAATTTTAATTCAAAGTTAGTAGACAACATTTTAGGGAAAAAACTTTTTAAAAATTTATCCCATAATTACAAATCAAAATTGCAGATATAAGACTCTGACATATATAAGAGCTCCTAGTGAAAAGGTATCATCATATTTAAAAAACCAAAATATTAACGTAGCTTTCAAAACCAATAATACGCTTGGGAAGGGGCGGAGGTAATTTGCCCACAAAATATTTAAAGCTGCTAATCCTATAGGTAATTTGCCTACAGCAAGTAAAAGGTCATCTTAATCCTGTTGGTATTTTGCCCAAATTTATTCTAACTGAATAAATCATAATAGATATATCTTTCATTTATTATTTTTTATATATTATCGAAAAGTAAAAACACATTATTAATTAAACTAAAAATTATATTAAACAATAATTTTTATTATTATAAAAACGTAAGTATACATAAGTTATATTATATTTTTTATATATTTATATTTTATTTACATATTTTTCAACTGGGAGGGATAAATGTGATACAAATTTTATATACTCTAATCTGCTGATTTGCTGCAGATCAAATCGCTGTATAAATTTTTCTAAACACTGAATTTTTTGTTTTACACTTTTGTCTTTGATTTTCTTAGGTATACTTAAGCTTTGTATTGTGACATACGTGTCGATTTGAAAGTCTTTAAGCTTTTCTATAAAAATATATACAGAAGGATGTGTACAGTAGAATGACGAATTAAACCTTGAATGAAACGACTCACAGGCATTTGTAGTTCTTGTAATTGAAGCTGTTTTTTCTGCCCATATACTTGGAGGAAATGTAGAATTTTCTTCAATATATGTTTCTAATAGGTAATCGGCATACCTATCGAGAACGGCATTTTCTGGTTTACTTGCCATTAAGTCAAACACAAAACAGTCTCCAACTTCATCGGCGTTTAAATATGTCAACCCAAATGATGTTTTAAGCCATTTTCCGGTATTACTGTTAGTTGTATATTCAGTCATTAATCCCAGAGACTGAATTTTACGATACCACGCTTGATGTAGATGAAATCGGCAGCCATTGATTACAGTATTAGGCCACATATAAATTAACGCCTTATGAATTGCTATTTCAAAATCAACGAACACTTTAGATGGATTTAAAGCAATACTGTAAGTTTCCAAAATTTTATAATGCAATAACGAAAACAAATGTTTGTATATATCGGTAGATTTGTTTGGTAATAAACAATATACCAGGGGCACATAGTGTCCATTACACAGCCCATGAATGGTAAATAATTGTAGGAAAAACTTTGTACAATACGAAAATGTTCCATTCATATACAAGACGTTCATTTTACACAAAGTACGAATATTTGTCTCACATGTAAATACAATAATATTATTTTCTCTGCTATTTATTAAAAGAAAATGTTCACCTTTACTGGTTTTAAATGTATTAGAATATAAGTCAACTGCATCATGCACTTCTTGTATATTTGTAGGTAATGGACCTGGTAGTATTTTGCGATGACTGTTGTATATAGTTTTTCTTATGTAGGACACATCAATTGTAGTTAGTGACTCTGGTAAATTAGTAGCAAGTACTTTACGGATAATTTTAGAAGGTTTTTCCGAAATATCATCAACTGCTTTTCGCTTACACGAATTAGAAATAATTTTCCTGTTTAATTTCGGTTCATTTGCTTCATGGCTATGAATTAGGTTGCCTCTGGATAGTAAAAGTTCAGGACAAATTGTAAATACAGTGGCATTACAAGCATTTGTTTTTCTTTGGGAGCATCTCCAAGAAACTTCTCCACTTTTCATTTCTCTATCTTTGGCAAACGTAAAATTCTCCAAAAGGAGTACATCTTTCCCGCGTGTGCTTTTAATCAATATAGCTGACATTATAGAAATAATTATTGTTTATAAACACTCGAATTACAATCATCAACGTATAAAAACTGACTGAAATATAAACAGTAAACACCCAAAGTAAGTACCTATTAGAATTATTAATAATCAGGTAGGTACCTATTTGTGGGCGGATGTAATTTGCGGGTTTAGGTACCTGAATGCTACTGTGGGCAAAATACAAAAAACAAAAATAATTCTACTTACTCAAATCATATTTTGGCTGAAAATCATCTTTTACAGACAACTTTGAAATTTTACATATAGAAAATAAGGGCATTAAACTAAACCATTTAGAAACACGTGAAATAAATAGATTTAAAAATTCAGATAACCTACTAAATGATCAATTATATATTAATAACTCACCTTTATTAAATCTCTTTCCTAGTTTTCTGTGAGATAATCCCGGTAATGATACTATCTTATTGTTATCTGATTGTTATCATAATTACTTAAGTACCCTTATTTACTTTAAATAGTTAGTTTATTTTGTTATGTTATAGATGTATTTTCTTAATTTGTTTGGTTAAATTATATATTGGATATATATTGGACATCGAATTGTAAATTAGTCACATTTGAAAAAGAAGTTGTACTTCGAAACATGTCGTGTGTAGTGTTTTTAATTTTTTAATTTTTATTTTTTTTTAATAAAAGTTTTGTGAAAATCTACCAAATTTGGTTTTACTCATTTAAGATAATATTGATTTTCATCAAGTAAAGGCCGAAACAATAAATAATTTAAAAGAAATGTACTTTCATTTGTCAAGGGCAAAAGAAGTAGTGAGTTACAGAACAATAATGAAGTTGATCAGTGTTTCAGGGACATTTTAGAAAAATAATTTCCAGTCGTGTGTAATTTGACAGATTTTAGTCTTATTATTCTATTTCAATGTTTTCTTTAAGATGACTATTTTAGCCATAAAAATATTAAATAATTTGAAATAACAAGGTTCCTCCACCATAATTTTAAATTAAAAAAAATGCGTATAATATGTATTATATATACTTTTTTTTTAATTTCTCCGTTACGGTCCATTTTAGAAGAATAATTTCCAGTACTGTGTAATTTGACAGGATTTAGTCTTATTATTCTATTTCAATGTTTTCTTTAAGATGACTATTTTAGCCATAAAAATATTAAATAGTTTAAAATAACAAGGTTCATCCACCATAATTTTAAATAAAAAAAATGCATATAAGTATTATATACACTATTTTTTTTTAATTTCTCCGTTACGGTCCATTTTAAAAAAATAATTTCCAGTCGTGTGTAATTTGATATATTTTAGGCTTATTATTCTATTTCAATGTTCTCGTTAAGAAGACTATTTTAGTCATAAAAATATTTAGTAGTTTGAAATAAGAAGGTTCCTCCATCATAATTTTTTTTTTA